ATGGTGGCGGGAGAGTTCTCAGGAGAAAGGGGGAAAAAAACGTAAAAAGGGGAAAAAGATTGAACGATGCGCCGCGACGAACGACGCAGACGAAACCGAGGGCGGTTAGACGACGTCCGAGAATAAGCGTCGAGATTATAAGGTACGCATACATACCGTCGTCGTTCGCGAAGGGTGACCGTCCAGGCGGATTGTTCGCGCTCGTACGAGAGCGAGCACGTGGACACGAGAAAAGAGAAACAGAGAGAGAAAGATCGACGACGTAGGGATCTAGAACGGCGGGGATGGAACAAAAACGACATTAAGGATGAGTAAAAGGGATGGACACCTAGACGAGGGGAAACTGAGACAAAAACAATGTATGCATGTGTGAGTAGGATAGAGAAAGATAACCAGAGAGTTAAGGGAAGCGAACAGAGCGAGAAGCAGCGGGAAAGAGGGTTGAATTCGAAGGCAGAAAGGAAGAAGCCCTGATTGAGGATCAGAAAGAGGAACTGAGCTGATTCAGAAAGGGGAAAAGAGACTGAGGAAGAAGAGAAGAGGTGAAGGAGGAAGAGGAACTGAACTGGCTAGGATAGAGGAAAAGAGCTGGCTAGGAAAGAGGAATTGAGCTGGCTGAGAAAGAAGAGAAGATCTGGTTGAGAAAGAGTCAGTATACTTGCAACAGAATCGTAGGAGAAAGACAGATTGTGGTACCAGAGAGAGAGAGAGAGAGAGAGAGAGGGAAAAGGTAACGTGAGCGATGCGCTATCGCAGAGCCCTGCCAGCGAACACGGCACGACGCCGGGGTCGGCGCTATCGATTGGCGTCGGCGTTTCCTCGACGTCGCTATTTGCCCGCCGCCGTCTCTCCTTTCTCTCTCTATATATATATATCCCCATCCCCCTCTATCACCACTCTTCTACTTTCTCCCTCTCTTTCACTCGCGCGTTCTCACCTCCGTTTCGTTCATCCTGCTTCGCCACCCTCGACCACCACTCAACCTCACAACCCTCTGTCTCCTTTTTCCTGAACGGTGTGTCTCGTACCCTCTCGTTACGCGCACGTAAGTGTATCTCTGTCCAGGTATATCGTCGTCCTTCATCCACAAAGTTCTCTTCCCTCCGGCAGGTGTCTCTGTTCCACCCAGAGAAACCTCTCAACCACCCTCGGATAACACAGGTCTCTTTCTCCATCCACCTTTTCCCCCTGGTCGTTCATACCTCTCTCCTTCGTTCACCCTCTTGCCAACCCCCCCTCCCCCTCCCCCACCAACCTGTATATCTGACTCCATCCGACGCGGTAACAGGTGTTGCTCCGGCCCCGAACTCGTACAAAATCGATGGGCAAGAGCCACATCGGCGTCGCGGCGAGGGTTTTCCCCTGGCGATTCACCCTCTTGCTCGGCTTCCTCGTTCCTACGCTCGTTTCAACCCCTCGGATCACAGGGGCGGGTGGGAGAGAGGTAGGGGTGAAAGGCCTGGCATAGAAGGGATGCAGAACCACGGAGCAAAAGAGAAAAGGAGAAACGATACGACGAAGGGGGTTGTGGAGGGAACCTAGAAGGAGTATACAGAGACATACTAGTTGGACAGAGTCAGAGGAACTAGACGGTAGGGGTCGAGGGTGGAAGAGGATCTAGCGGGAGGATAGAGAAACAGAGAGGGCAACACACCACTACCAGTGTATACCAGCGATGAGGAGTGGTGTTGGGGAGGGAAAATAGGGAAGGAGCTCTCTGCACGAACCGAGGGAGGAAAGGACGCAGGCGCCCAGGACGCTGGGCGACGCTGGTCGCGACGACGCTGCATTGGCAGTTGCACCCCAGCCACACCCGGTACGAGCCATGTAGTCGGGCTACCCTCCACCGCGATACACGGCGGACAATTGTTGCTTCTGCGCCCACAGGTGGTACATCTTCATCTTCGATCTTCGTCCTGGTTAGACGTGTCCTGTCCCCTCGGTCCGTTAACACACCAGTGACCGTCGACGAGAACTGGCTAACGGTAGCCGGTCGCGCTGGTGCTCTCTCGCGTACGCTCTTCTTCTCCTGGATATACTACTCGACGTCATCACGGTGGTTTGGAATCGTCGTTGTCCGTGGTTACGTGTTCCTGTGTTGTACAAGTGGTTTTAATTTCTCGACGTTCCGATCTCGACGGTGTGTTGCTTCCCGAAGGATTCAGTGAAACGGATAAAACGAATTCAGTGGTCCACGGTAAGATCCAGTGAAACAACGATCGAAATATAGAGAGGGACATACGCACAGAGGGGTGTGGGAAGTGAAATTGCGTACAGTACGTGGCCAACCCCGAGAAACTCTGTGTCCGAGAGACCGTCGAACAGCCGCACGAGGGCAGAGTTGTAGCTTCACGCGGTATCCGCGATCCTTCACGCCACCACCCGCTCTCCCCGGTTTCCCTCCTAGCCCGTTGGAAAACCTGGGGAAAAACTGGCGAACGCCGGAAGACAGAACGGCGAGAGGGGTGGTTGCCAGGAGGGAACCTAGCGGAGGGAGTTATCGACTACACGCGTAAGGCGACAGCGCACACGTACACCAGGGGTACACACAAACATCGCGGGACCTGTTGTCCAACTTGTTGCTCGTCCCTGCAAAAGGCACACACACACACATACCACACACACCTGCCCATCCCTCGACTATAGATAACACAAGGTTTTCGAAAAAAAAGAAGCTGGAAGGACGTGCCAGAAGCCGCGAAACGAGCAACCGATAGGTCTCAGGTACAAAGCGACTTGGAGAGGTCATCGGACCCCTGACGTGGAAGAAGCGTGTTGTGTCGAGTGGATTTCTTCGATTTTTCCTGGGTGAACCATGCGATCGTGCCTGTGTGAAAGCTGGGGAAGGATTCGATGAGACGATACGCGCGCAAACACTGGCAATTCTATCATCGAAACCCGGTTCATCGAGTCGAACCGAGATTCTTGGCTGGGATATTCGGTTGAATTTCGGGGGAATCTTCGGAACGACGATTATTAGCTACAAGGCTTAGCTACAGTTCTGACAAGTGTCTAATCAGTTCCCATATCAGGATTTACGTCAGATTTGGTGAACGTGTTTCAGAGGGTTCGTTTGAAGAGCCACCTGCGTCCCAGGTGGTAGCAAGTGTGTGGGATCAGTTGGGTAGCATTTTCGAACGATCCAGCTCGGAGAATCGCCGAGATGAGGGTAACACGAAAACGGACACGCCCGACCACCACGGTACCGGAGGACGGCGTAGCCGGTGGAATAAAGCCAGGCGAGTAGACTCGACGCGGAGAACCAGAGGGACTCTGTAACCAAAAACTCATCTATCACCCTGGGATATCGAAAGGCGGCGACCCTGTAAGGCTGATGAACGCGTGTAAATAATCGCAAAACCACAACTGAATGATATTTGTACATATATATATAGATACACGTATAAAAAAAGAATCAGGATGTTTGAGCAATGACGATGTAAACAGAGGCGTTTAGATGGAAGCATCGAAGGTTTAGGGTAAGACACCGGTAGATGATAAGTGTGCTTCTGCCGAACGAAAGTCCGCCTGATCGATCGTGAAATGACGCACAGGGAACGGTGAACAGGGCAGAAGTAAATGACTAAGTAACTCTTAACACAGAGGGTTTTTAACACCAGCGAAGAAGCGTGTAGCCCTCTGGTTAGGTGTAGCCAGCACTCGTAGGATCGTTATGACGTAATCCTTCCACCCGTGAATACAACGAAAGCAATACTACAGACAAGGTAAAAGAAGCTTAAAGAAGAAGAAGAAGAAAGCAAAAGAAAATAATAAAAAAGGCAAGCTGAACCCTTCGCACCCTAAATCCTACAGCTCTCTCTGTATCTCTCGTTCGCAAGTATTATCAAAGCTACCGATTTGTTTGGGACACGCTAAAACACGAATCTCTCCAAAAAAAAAAAAAAATAATAATAACGGACTGACTCGCTTCGCCGAAAGATATTTTAATACGAAACGTATACACCACCAAATTCTCGATATACATGTGTGTATACATATATACTGTATACACGCGTTACATAGAGAGAAGTCTATCTATACACACACGAAGGACGCGCGCGTGACCACGGAGGAACGTATGTAGGCGGTTAGCCGCACACTAGAAGCGATCGTGCAACGACATCTAGAATTAAAAAGCACCAAGGGGGAACGCGGGTCGAGATAACCTCCGAAATTCGACGTTTACGGCCACGCGACACACCGCCAGAAAAAGCATCGATGCTGGGACCTCTGACCACGGTTATTCATCTCGAGATCTTTCCGTGACAGGCAACCACTTCGAACAATTCCAGGGAGGATCTAATTTCACCGACGAAGCTACAGAATTCGGTGAATCGAGGGAAATACCCGTCGAAAGTACTGGATTAGCCTCGAAGAGGACCAACGAAAGGGATGCAGCGCCACGTGGAGAGGATCGGTTGAGGCGATCGAGGAAGGATCGAGAAAGTAGTCGCGATCCTGGTGGCCTCCACGGAGACCACCAGGACGACATTTTTCCTCGCTGAACAGTTTTGCGAACCGAAAGAAAAAACGATCGTCCTGAAGCTGTCCACCGTGTGCATACCTGGTGTCCCTTGAGTGAGGAGGACCGAGAAGAGGGTCTGGAGATTCTGGTCCTCTGAAAATATACACCTAGTGTACCTCGAGTAAAGAGGACCAAGAAGAGGTTTTGAAGATTCTGGTCCTCTGAAGATAGGTACCAAGTGTCCCTCGAGTAAAGGGGACCAAGGCTCTGAAGATTCTGTTCCTCTAAAGATAGATACCTAGTGTTCCTCGAACGAGGTGAACGAAGAAAATTCTCTGAAGATAAATACTTGGTGTCCCTCGAGTAAGGAGGACGAAGGTTCTGTTCCTTCGAAAATTGGGAAAGCAATCAAGCTTCGTGTCCAGGAGCTAAACTGATGGTCCAAGTGACTCGAAGACGCTGAGGGAGGAGTCACGCCATTTGGGGGGTAGTAGTCGGTGGATTTTTACTCGTGGGACAGTCGAAGACAGCCAAGATGCCGCGGTGTTACATGGTGAAGAAGGCGTTGTGCAACAAGTACGTGAGCAGCGTTGCCAGAGGATTCGAGAGCTGGGGTCGCAGCAGGAGCACGCCATCGCCGACCACCATGCAGATACCGGTCTCGCCCATCGAAGGGAGCGTTGCACCCCCTGTTGCTCAAGGTATGACCCAGGTCAAACTATTAGCCCAGTCTCTCCCTTTGATGATCACGAGTCTCTGACTTACGAGCGCATTACTACCCGGGCTTAGCTACCAGCGATTGAGACCCTCGAAATGATGATCGCAGGGGGCTCCTCACGGATTAACCGAGGAGCTTTGAAGTGGCTCGTGGTTATTGGCTTTGATTTTATCCCTTTGTAACCGCGTGATTCCTTTCTCGATTGTGGATGGGCGAATTTTTTTCTGGAGAATTTCTGGGTTTTAGGGAATTTAGTGGAATGTGGAATTATTTTATTCGGACGGATTGTTGAAGCGAATGTAGAGTCGATAACGTGCTTGTCGTGGAATGTTTTGGGCCTGGTAACTTGTTGAACGTCTGGGGAAATTTGATGCAAGTGGACAGTATTTAGAAAAAGATTTAACAGTCCTGTCGGTTTTCAAATACACTTCGTGTCATAACTATAAAACCACCCTTTAATTTTTAGTTCTTGTGTATTGTGGTTAAAAGAAAAACAAACCATGTATGCCATATCTGAAATCGTGTTGAAGAATAATGTTCTGCAGTAGTATATACGGCTTATATTCCGCAAAAAAAAGTGGTTCGTTTTTATTTTAACCACACTGCATAAGGATTGAAAATTTTGGGGTGGTTTTATAGTAATGCCCCGCAGTCTATCATATAATAAAATAGAAGGTTCTAGAACATGGCCAAGACTAGTATAACTGAACAATCTCGAAAAATCACTGTACTGTAAAATTTTACATTGTTAAGAATCACGTTTTGATCATTTTTTCTCTTACCAGTGAAATTTAAAAGTTTCACTTTTGGGATCCAAAAGGGTATAAATAAAGTGCAAAGAACACGAAACAAGTTCGAACGACATCGTAACAACGATTCGATCGTTGCAAGTTCGATATTTCTACGGATGGCGCAACATTATCTAATATTCAAAGTCCCCTTGCCTTCGATCGTACGTACTGCGTATTTCCTATCGACTCATGAAAATGTTTGGGATTGCTCGTATCGCAGACCCACAATTTCCAACATGAGCGTGAATTCTCAGAGATATTATTGGTTTTTTGCTGGTATTAATTTCCTCGCAGATGACGCAGTTGTGTACACACGGTTCCACAACTTTATTCTGTTTCTACGTCTTTTTCCCCATGTTACTCAATACCCACTGAAACCCATATATATTATGTAAATTCACAACTAAATTGGTGAGTTTTTCAATCTTTTAAACAGAAAAGAATATTTATAAAAGTTGAGAATATCTAGGTTTTCGTTGTTTTATTTTGATCATGTAGTTGTTCATCCGAGCCATAGTAAGGGCTTCTAACCTTATACAGAGAAATGGCGCGCTAGGAAAGGAAAGTTTGCAAGGGGTGATAATCCAATTTAACATCCACAAATGTTTACAAATACATAATTCGATAATTCTTATGTAGGCAACCGAAATATTCACGGTTACTGAACAATCGAAATACTCCATTCTAACAAATTAGATAAAGATAGATAATTATTTTACTTTCATAGTTTTCCAAAACTCTTACTATTCCCTCCCTATAATATACTAAGTGCTATTTTACACAAGAACATAAAAAAATTGTGAAAGAAAATTTAGAAATTAGTACCTGGATACCCGTGTACCCGATTGCCTATAAAGGGTTAATCCGTCTTCAAGGCGTCATTGGACGCCATGTTTCTATCTGAGCTGGAATCAATGAGGTCAATTACGCAGTACAAAAAAAACAAAAAATTGAATAAAGATTCAGAAACAAATTCAGCGAACATTCACAAAAATTTCACAACAATTACCATTACGATATCGTCAACAATTGAAATTATTTTCGTATCGACGAGTTCGATAAACGAAACATATGGGACATTTTCTCGCCAGTGGAGCAACCGTTTCCCTCGTTCCACACGACATTCCTACGGATACCATTTCCGAAAAGCTGTGCCATTTGTCTCGCTGACAGAGCGAAACGCGTGTATTGACGGGCGTGCTTTGGCGAAGGCGAAACAGAACGCCATTCCTCGCACGGAATAATCGACAGAGAATCTCGAGTGAAACACACACACACACACAGAGGGAAATCGGGGAACATAGGGCGCCCCCGGGTACATCCGTCACCGAGAACGCGAAAAGGAGAATGGTAATCAATATTCCGGCCGCGGCTATTACGTCCAATTAATGTGAATGTTGCTGTTTGTTCCGAAGGCCCGCCGCGGGTATTGATTCCACCCTCCTCCGCTCGTATATTCGCGTCGGCCACCACGGGCCGCGTGTTTCCGTCGCAGCCAAGAAAAATCTTCTGCATACGAATATGTGCCCCACGAACGAAAGAACATCGAAACGTTCCCGTCGAATACAAACGTTCGAATTGTCTCGTATAGTGGCGAACATATACCGAGGATAACAGAAAAATTCCCTTACGAATCGTTGGATTATGTCGGGAATGTTGATATTGTCTTCGATTGGAGGAAGCTTTAGGACAATCTGTTCTTATTTTCGTGAATTGTTCGTTTTATTCGGTGTATTAGGTCAATAGAGGAACAGTGGTTACAGGTTTAAAGTAGTCTTGTCACTTTACTTATGTTTGTCCATTGTCGTTCTGTCGAATGTTATTGTACACAGTTATTTTTTGTGGTTGTGCTGACGATCGAAGAGCAAAATTCTTCAGTGTGAATAACAGAAAAGTATTCGAATACCTCCAGTTTTTAAAAAATTTCGGTAGGAACTCTTATATTATGTCAGAAGAATTGATTCTATGTTCCTCTTACTTTGATTGGAGGAAAGTTCTGGAGAATACGTTTTTATTTTCATTTATTGTTTGTGTTATTCGGTTTATTAGGTGAACAAAGGAACAATGGTTATAGATATAATATGGTTTTGTGCCCCTATTTCATTTTGTTGATGGTCATCTTCTTAAATATTACGAAAAGACAAAATTCTTTAGAGATACCGAGGAATTACAGATTTACATTTTACAATTTAATTACCATTCGCAATTTACCTCATAAATATGTAGAACGATATAATATCAGGACATTATCTAATAACGATCTGATATTATTCTGACCGGAAGGGAAAACGATCTTTCATACATGTCACAGATTCTGCGCCACATTTATCAACCTGTATTACCACAAGCTACTATAGTGCTTTAATATTGCCCGAACAAAAATGGTCCTTAATACTTTAAGGAATTCTCACTTTTATCATCTGCTATTACCATAAAAAAATCTATACACCCTTAATATCTCCTAAAACCAACTATAAATGCATAAAATCCGCAGTCTACTTATGAGCAGTACTATACATACATACGTACTTCCCATCCGAAGTGTCCTGACATTTATAGATACTTACGAACAAACTTCGCTCGTGCCAAAAAAAGGCAGATGTCAGAAACGACCTGGTGTTTCCATGGAACAACGTTTGCGAAAAAAAAAAAAAAGAAAGGATAAAAACACGAAACATTCGTGATATTCGTCGAGGTGGTAATTCCAAGAGGCGGTTTCGTATAATTCGCGATATAATGTGTTGCTCCTCGGTAAGAAAGCTGCATTAATTGTCTCTGAATTGTCGTGTATATCCAACGTCAGGCAGCATTTCAACGAACGGCCCCGTTTCGCGCGAGGGCCTCGGTTTACGGTTCGTGTTCATAATCGAGTGAATGAGAAAGTGTCATGCGAAACTTGCCGGAGACGTTAATGGAGCTGCAACGGCCGCGCACTTAAGTCTCGTTACAATGCCGAGGCACGCTTCTATCGCCGCCCGCGAAACCGGGACAATCATATACGAGACTCTGTATATCTAGACGTCGAATTTCGTGGCTTGTGGACGGGAACTGGATCCGCTGTGCACGTTATTAATTTGCATTTTTCTGTTATTTTTAAGAATTACGAGAACGATTATCGGGGCCTTTGACGTTTAGGAGGGGTCGTGCCAAGATGGCGGACCGAAAGAACTTGTAAATCTTTTTCAGAGTATATTAATTCTGTGAAATGTTTATTTGATGTGAGTTTGGTTGAAGAATTTTTATTAGTGTAAAAACTGTAGCTAATTGCATCGATTTATACGTCATACAAATATTCCGATTCCTTCTGGAGAAAAACATTTACTGTAATTCGCTGACTCGACTAACCTCAAATTCGGTTCAGGCATTTCAATCTGATATCTATGACAGATTACTCTCGGAAGCTATTATCCGATAAAAATAAGGTTTTATAACGTGAAATGTTCTTTTATTTATGGTCTGTGTGTAATGTTCATCTATATAGGCCACGAAATTTGTCTGTTTATACAGGGGTGTATCGCGTGAGGTGTTACAAGTTGTTTTCTCCGAAACCACGGCAGATATTGATGTGAATTTTTGTTCAAATTGAATGTTTCGGTGGGTTTAATCAGTTAGGGTGTAAAATATTTAGGAAGGAAGAGTCTCCTAGGTAGAAAGGAGTTCCCTATATTCTTAAAATAAAACAGAGTAAACAGAAGTCAAGTATACGCTCAGCTTCGGGTGAAAAACAAAGTAATGAGTGGTTAAAAACCTTTTAATATCACTTACAAATAATAACTAAATTAAATAATTCTAAATTCTAATCCTACGGTCGGAAAGGCTCAACTGTCTCTCCTATCAAGGAACAGTGCTCCTTACAATGGACGCAGTGTAAAAGAAACTACTGTGAAATTGTTCCTCTAGGTCGGATTACCTCCATTTCCCCGCGAAGCAAAGAACACCAAATCGACTCTCGAAGCAGCCGTAATAACGGAATCAGAGGGGCCAGAGGGTCATTGGTAACCGCTTCGCGCTAATCGAGGTTTTCCTCACCACCCTAGGGGCGGGGATGATCGTCGTGGAAATGAAGGGAAAACAACAGCAGCCAGGAACGATTCGAAAAGACGGCGGGCCGGGGCGTTGAAATGAAACCGCGCCGCGCGCAGTTTCATAACCGAGTTATCGTGAAATTTTATATCCGCTCGGGCTCTCGTACACTTTCCTTAGCCATCCACTCATCCCCTTTGACCCCGTTTTCAACATACTTGCCGTCATAATCCCCCCTCTCCGAGCAGCCCCAACGTCCCACCCGAACACCACAACCGCCACTTCACGGACGAGGTTCGACACTCTTCCGCTGGCACGCCGACAACACGAAACGCCTCTAGATCCTCCAACAACCCGGTTCTCATCGTGGTCCCCGTTAAATCGCGATTAAAATGTCAAATCAAGATACCCCCCGAGTTACGCACTGTGTACCTACATGCAATGAGAGCGTCAAAAGTGAGCAGTGATTCTTCGATGAATGCGACAACAGCAACGGCTTTATTCCCACCACTGGAGGTGTGTCCCTCTGTAGAACCGAACAGAACAGAATAAACAGAAGCTAAGCAAAGGCTCGGCTTCGAGTAAAAAAGAAATTTATGAGAGGCTGAAAATCTTTCCGCCTTGCCTCGAATCCTCCGAAGTGGGCTCGAGTACGTCGCACTCATCGAGACATTACTGCATACATTTTGAAAGTATGGGATTCGTTCATATTTTTTTGTCCCACTTTAGAATCTAACATATCACATAGATGCTCTATTACATTCGGATCTGGTGATTGTGAAGGTAGGACCTGACTGATTGAAAGTGTTTTCCGGCAAGCACTTTTTCTGATTGAGAGTAATTTGAAGTATTACCACGAACCCACGTATTGTGACGTGTACACTTAGTTTTGAGTCTCACTGTATATAGGGTCTCTCAGCTAACTTGATCACCTCGAATAATAATGACTTGACGGTACAGTTTATGAAAATTTGTAAGCGTGGAACTTAAATGGCATCAAGTAGCATTTCAAGGTCACCTTGATTCTTTGTAACGGAATGACCGATTTTTTAGGTTATGTATTTATTAGAACCTATTTTTTATAACGTCATTTATATCTAACTATAGTACATCAAAAGACTTAATGTCACATCAATGACCGTATATCTGTGAATGTCTCCCAGAAGCGAAAAATCTAGGATGATAATGCTCTTTCCTGGGTCTAACATATTTTTTTCCTTTTCATCCCTGTTGTCTCGCTTCCTTTCATTTCGGTTCCAAGCTTTTCCCATTCCGTTCGCCGCGATTGGATGCAAACAGACATGCATCTGCTGGGGGATAAAGTTTTTCTATTACAAACGGAATTCCAATCCCCTCCCCAATGGGTTTATTAAATTTCACGAGGCTTCTCGTTTTCCTTCCGGAGACCGCACTCTCCGCGGGAAAGTTTAATTGCTACGCATAAAGTGAACCGGGATCGATGTACCGCTTTTTCTTCTTCTTCTTTCGACGGGGAACTCGAAGTTAACAGCGTTCGGCTCGCTGCTGCATGTTTGTGCTCGCGAGGGAAAACTTTCAACGACAGGTGACTTGTAATTGGTGTTCCGGAATGATCGAAGTTGATCGATCGGGGACCAGAGAGCGGCCAGAGTTACAGAATACCTAATCGCAGTTCAGTATGGGAAAAAGTTCGATGAAGTTTTCGTGTGATTTGAAACACAGTTTACCCCTTTCCACCCCCTGTCGATGGAATTTCCGGAAATCCTGAAATTACTTCCCATGCATTTGAATAAGTAGCATTTTAAACTAAAAACCCCAGTGGGATATCTCATCGGTACCAAGAGATAGTAAAGATTCCCAGAAAATACATTTCCCCTTTTTCACTTCTTAATGGATTGAATTTCGAAGAATCCTATTTAGTGGATGCGTCAGTCCCAAGGGGAAGCTATCCCTAAAATATCATGTTCCTACGTTAAGAGCTGACCGTTGATTAGTCAGTCGGTCAATCAGAGATCATCTTCTTTTATGTATAAATAGATTAATGTTTCGTGGATACATCGTGGTACTACCATCCAAAGAATTTCCGAACTATCCTAACCCAACTTGAAGTGTCTTTCCTCTGCCGCAGAATACCTGAGCACCCAGTCCCAGGAGACAACGCCAACGGGAACAAAAACGCCCGAGCAGGAGGTGTCCAAAGAGCGAACGACCGATCCAAGCGATGTCGACGCGACCTCATCCCCCATCAGCATCGCGCCAACCACCGCGACAGAGTTTCCACCAGCCGCGCGGATGGAAACAACACCCGTCACGACAGTTCCACTGCCATCAGAGTCGATCGTGTCGATCGTCGAGAACGCAACAACGACTACCACCGCGATCATCCCCTTCACGATTCCCAGGTCACCGTCCCGAACCACCGTGGACCACCACGCGACGTCCACTCTTCATCATCCCCCACCCGGTGAACCTTCTCCACCGTCGAGCACGGCCACACCGTATCACCTGGAGGACACCAGCAGCCGTACAACATCAGACTCGAGGATAGGAGGGTCCAATTGCAACGTGATCACCGGTCACGTGTCCTCGATGTTCAAGGATCGTTCACCCGCGGAAACGGAAGCAGCACACGATCTCCTCGAGCTCTCAAGGTCTCTGCCGCCGTTACCGCCTCCCAGCGTCGCGATTGGCCCACAAAGCGTCATAGAGACGCCAGCGACCGACATCCAAGAGATGACGGTCTATCAGCCGGACCAGCCCGTCTACCAAGTGAACACCATCGATCTGGCGAGCTCGACCGTTTACGCGCACCACCAGCAACAACAGCCATCCACAGCCAGCATCATCTACGAGCCAAGCGCGGCGATAGTCCAGCAAACGGGTAGCGTTTTCATTCCACTCTCGCCTGTCCAGGAGATCCTCCTGACCTACAGCACGCCGTCCATCCCGTGCACGCCTATCGTCGCTCAGCAACCACTGCAACCGCCGCCCCAGCAACAGCAACAACAACACCACCAAGCGATCGAGTCAGCGCCCCCGCTAACCCCGCCCACGTCCGAGTGTAGCAGCGACATAGAGAACAATAATCCGAACTCGCAGCCCAGCCAGAAGGACAAGGAGGTGCAGACCGTGATCGAACAGACGGAAGCAAAACCCGCGAGCTATACTTACGATACATTATTGGTAGCCGATGGAAGATCGAAGAATAAAAAGACGACAACTAACCAGAAGACCCCACCAGAGGCTGAACCAGTCGAGGCGCCTGAGACTTCGAAGATCGGACGATATGTGTGCTGCGAGTGCGGTACGTTTTTGGACGTCTCAAACCCCCACTATGATACGTTAGATCAGTGCTTCCCAAACGTTTTTGGATCGTGCCCCACCTGTACGCCTCAAAGACGACCTCGATGCTCACCCCAGCATAATAGTAAACCAAGTTCTGAAAAAGTTTAATTATGCCAGAGTTCCCGCGGTAAAGTTGGCTACCAATCGCAGCGCGTAGTCAACGTTACCGCGGGAACTCGTCCGGCAGACTCGCGCTCTGATTGGGTCGGGGTTTTTCATTAATATCTCGTTAACAAAGCCTCGGATAACATTTTTGCTAAGGAAAAACTTGTTTCACGTCACTTCACGATTCTCCCATTTCCGGGTCCTCCAACATTTTTATTACTATAAGACTAAGCTAACGACGCAGAGCTGGGCCTTAAAGGAGGATATCGAAATTCCCAAACTAAACCAAACTACTATGACACTACTGAAGGGAACCCTTGTACGTTCTCCAGGTAAGCAGTACGCGACATCGTCGAACCTGTCGCGGCACAAGCAGACACACCGCAGCATCGATTCCCAATCGGCGAAAAAGTGCATCCATTGTGGGAAAGCGTACGTGAGCATGCCCGCTCTGGCGATGCACGTGCTGACGCACAAGTTGACCCACAGCTGCGGCGTGTGCGGGAAAATGTTCTCCAGACCGTGGCTGCTCCAAGGCCATCTGAGAAGTCACACCGGTGAGAAACCTTACGGTTGCGCGCACTGCGGCAAAGCGTTCGCCGACAGGTCGAACCTTCGCGCCCACATGCAGACCCATTCCGCGGACAAGAACTATGAGTGCCACAAGTGTCACAAATCGTTCGCGCTCAAGTCCTACCTTAACAAACACCTGGAGTCCGCCTGCCAGAGGGAGAACGACGACAGCAGCAATGACGTCGACACGCCGGTTTAAGGATCACGTGAGACAGGTAAAAATGTTACACGTGTAGTGAAAAAGGCGAAATATTGCGCTGGGACCGGAAGTCTAACTCTTCTTTTTTTTTTTTTTTTCAAGGGTTGTCGATGATTTTTTTATCGATGATTTTTTTATCGATTTGTATAACCCAAACAAAGATGGCTGCCGCCCTCTAGTAGAGCGCTAGACAGATGAGTATGTTCATCCGCCATTTTGGGTCCTGTGGATGGGTGAGTGTACAGAGGGTCTAGGTTAAGGCTTTCCATTCCTTTCTGTCTACAGAGGACCTAAAATAGCGGATGGACAGACTCACCTCTAAATGCCTTAACCTGGACTCTCTGTAGACTTATCCATCCACTGGATCCAAAATGGCGGATGAACATACTCGTCTTTCTGGTGCTCTACCTCTACCGCCCTCTACGTTGGTTTAAATTTTCGCGGTACTTTTTAGATTTGGAGGTTAGAAATTAGAAGCGTTTCGTGGAGAAGATTTAATCTCTGTTCGAGCAGAGCCGATGGATTTAGAGTAATATTCTTCTTTGTTGAATCGATTTTTAAATCATCAACACGAGTCTGACTCGATGTTATAGGGCAAGGGGTTAACTAAACTTTAACCATTAGGATAGAGCTGAATGGGTCTGGCTGGTGTCTCCTTCAGCCATCAGCTGTGCTCGGTTACTGTAGATTACTACTTGTTAAATACTGCAGACATCCCATACAGGATTTCCCTCTCTGACCCTATTGTACCACCTAAGGATTAAAACAATTACTTTTAACCAGTCTTGCAAAAATTCTGCTTTCTAGCTAGCAACCAATCGAACCTGAGACCATGTCGCATTTCACGAAAGAGGAGAAAAGGCACCGTGCAAGTTCACGGTTAGGTGAGCAATTCCACGTTCTCATCGGCCAGGGAGTGGAAAGCGAACGTGTTCGGGGATGTTGGATCCGTGTCGACGGGAATGGATCGATTCGAACCCCGAATCGATTCGGTTGGAACTTCGACAGCTTCAAAACGGTGAACGTCGTGTGTGTTCGTTTCCCTTTTTCCCTTCTTTCTTTTCGTTCTTTCAGACACACGCGAAATACCATCGACGACACCGTGCTTAAATGTAATCTAAACGCAACAGAGTTCCTGTTAGTTGAAATTGGATCAGGGAATAATCGTAAAGGAAGAATCGGGAATAGTCTGAAGGGTAAGGGACACACATCGAAGATGGCGTCGTCGGTGTAACCGTACGCGAACGAAGACTATCAACGTCCGCCATTTTACCTCGACAACCGGTTTATGGGGTAAGCGAACAATTTCGTGGTTCCTCTATCGACTGTTTATGAACCGCAATAAAGTTTACGAAGAGATATCGGTGCTTGGGCGATTGCTATCGAACACGGGTTTTGTGCTTTTAACGGAGAAACTACTGGAGACTGTAAAAGCACCAAGAGACAAAAGAATTACACGAATGAACACACCCAAGGTTACTTCGATCACCTTTTTTCTGAACAGTGTACTTGTTTCTCATTTCAATTACTACCAACAGTAATTTGGGGAACCGTAACTCAGTCGCAACATCGATTTGACAGCATTTTTATGTCACGAATCCCTGTGATTTCCTAAATAAAATATTTCCTCTGTATTTGAATAATTATAAACAATTGCACATTAAAAAAACCAATAGACCAGTTCATCTGAAAATTCATATTTAGTGCTTTCGCAATACATACTCTGGCTCAAACAATCCCTCGAAGCCACGATACCAACAACGACTCGCAACGACATTAGGTCAAGTTCACAAGTTTCCATCGAACTTCTGAACGAGTCACGATTTCACACCGTGTACCAACCAACAGACCAATTCCCTTTAAAATTATTCAGTTTCGGCTGCTTTTACAGTCTCCGTGAGATTTTCTCCGTTATCGATTCTAGACACGTTAGAGCACAACGTCGAAATCCAATGTTCGCGAACGTTCACGAGCGGACGTTAAGGTACGTGTTCACATAACGGTAAAGCGTGACTTTTACTGTCGTAACACTAAATGTTATGACTTTTGTCATCGTGAAAACTAGATGTGCCCCGTCGTGACATTGATTCACATACACTGTCCACGACAACGACAAAAACCATGACTTTTACTGTCACGTGGAAACGTACCTTTAGTATCGGGCGCGTACGAGGGTAGGATCTAGCGGTCGGCTTCGAAATCGTGTCCGAACGTCACGAATATACACACACAGTGTTCCTTCGTATCGATCGCTCGGCATTCTTTTCATCCCACATTCTTTTCATCCCTCTACGCCTCGATGTCGCTGGGGCAAAATCGATATTACCCGCTTTTAAGGGCGTCAGATGACGATCGTGATTAGCGACGGGCGAGCCTCGATCGGATCGATACATACACATACTATCGAGGGACCATCAACTTACCATTCAAATTCATTACGAAGAGAGTAATGGAGAAAAACAAAAGAGGATTCGTTCCCCAGATCTTTCTTCATCCACCTTGAGGAAAAATTTTACCGATCACGCACGAATTTCCTAGACGACGTTCCGCATGTGCGTCCTTTTTTCTCCCACCGACGTTCGCGATACAATCCGAGACACCGCGGGCACACGTTCAAGGGTTTTCATCAACATTTCACGTAAACCGGACCACCTGTTGAACGCCGGAATGACCATTCGGTGGCGAAAGGGTCGCTCGTTCTGCGTCCCCCTGAATTATAGAACATCCTCTTGTAATTTCCTCGTTGTTAAACGCGATCCGCGCTAGGAATTCGCACGCACCTGCATAAAAGTTGCCGCGTTCTTTCGATCGCGTCGATTAACCATTTGTCGAAGAAACGATACACGGGTTTCGATCATCTAGTCGTAGAGGTTATATTCTCTTAATTTATCATTAGCTAGTAAGATAGATGCGTATATATACATATATTTTTAGGCACGCTTAGATCGTTGTATACTTGTTTCGTCCGCATAGTCGCTGACAGGTGATTTGATTTGAATAATTTTGACGCCTTCCCGCGAAGAGGCGTCTGAGTCTGTGTACACATGGTATCGAAAAAACGATATTCGAGCATTTATCGTGTAGTGGAGCCTCGATTATACGAACTGACTGGGTGACATGACGTTTAATCGATCGGTAGATCATGTTTCTTGATGCAGAAACGAGAACTTGAATGCAATAATCCACGGAAATGCTGGATTTAGTGAAGTCGCGTTAACTGCGCGCAAAAAACGTGACTTTACTGTAGTCAGCAAATGAAGATACAAATGACAACTAAGACAGTATTTCTTAACCTTTGACTGAGCATGTGGGGTTTAATAGACTCCAACCAGCTTTAAACGTTCATAATATTCCTAATCAATTGTACGATTTTTTTTTCCTTTCATATGAGTTTGTTATTCAATCATAAGAATTGAGATGATTTTATTTTTTGTTAATTAGGAAGTAGTCTTTTATGTTCTGTTGTGTTTTCAGAATTTACGAATAAAAATAATATATTATGTTTTAGTTTTAATTTGAAAAACATTACTTTGTACATAACGGACGTTCGCAATAATAATAGTAGTGTAGATTGTAGAAGTTCTTCGTATGGGGTCTGACAAACCCCACATGGTCGATCATGTGATTCTCAGGCACGTGACCAGTCAAAGTTGAGGTTGTGTAAGTCCAGTTTCGAATGGAAATGCAGTTTAAACTCGATTCATCTACGGATCGATGTCTTTTTATTATTATTTGTAGTAATATCGAAGTCAAGACATTATAAGGTTCTTCTGAACGCTGTTGAACGTTTTGTCCCGAGATAAAAAGAAAATTGGACTTACACCAATCGTTCGTGACACACCGGTGTACACAGGATTATCCAGAAGGAACTTGAAACGCTTATGACGTTCAGACTGCACCAAATTGGCCAATGTGATATTAATTTAGAATCCCAACTATAAAACGACGGAAAAGCACGCCCCGAGTAGAAGCGATGAAAGGAATGCCAATTGAGGGCTATATATATGTATACTCGAAATTCTTAACCTCTTTATCTTTAGGTTACCCCGTGCCACGGGGGTTGCACGCGTAGATCAGGCGATCTTAAGTTTTTCTCGTCGTCCTGTCCGTTCCTCTTGCTTTCGCGCGGGGAACCACCCGCGACTATATAGGTTTTTTTATACACGACACGTAGAAGATATTTTGGTACGAGAAATTTTCATGGCTATTGTATGTACGGACAGTGGGGCGAATTCTGCGCGGTTGTTAAATCGGTTAGTTGAATCCGTAGTCGACGGGGCCGAGTCTACGGTGTCCTTTTTAGCTTTAAGTGACCTCTTCTGTTGTACAAAAGACAAACGTCTGTCCTTCTCCTCGCTTCGTTGTTTACCTGGCCGGTTGCTCGATAGCAATTAGAGGATCGCTGTTGGTGGGCGGTCCCTGTCATGGCGACAAAGAAGAAATTCTATTGGCTGGGCAAATCGACGCCTGATACAAACCGATACCAACAGCGATTCTACAGTTCAGTCAACGAGTCGAGTTGGTTGAGATAAGATGACCACGTGGTTCGATAACGGATACGGAGACTTTAGTGATTGGACAATCGATAAAATCCAGTGGTTCGAGACACGAGGAAACGCTCCGAATTGTGAAAATTAGTGCAATTAATGTGTAACAGTTACAGTGACTCGCATGTTTGGTCAACAAAGGACTGTCACTTCTAGTCGACCAAATTATTCAGCAAAATACGGAATTTCGTTTCGAGACTACGAAAAATGTATCACGAGAAGATGATAAACATGACTATAAGAATATATAAATAGAAATTATGTAAAAGCTTTTACACGTAATTGTTAGTTCAGAAAGTCTGTGAACGAATACGCGAGTCGCTGTACGCTGAATGATCGTATTTAAAGACTACGATCGTAGATTACACGACCCATTGTTTAGTGACCACGTGTGCATCTGTTTACTCGACTCGTTGAACGCACTTACAACCTATTTTCCGTGAAAACAAACATTCCAGAAACGGTAAAATGTGTGATTCTCTAATTGCTTCGAGCAACGTGTTTGTAGATCGGAAAATTTCGACGTTCGCACGCGTTTGTTTGACACGTCGATAACGTAATCGAATGCGGGATGCAAACGTCAGAAGTAGACTTGCCTAACACGCCCCTGCGTTCGCTTCGGAAGCTAGATTAAAAAAAAAAAGAAGAAGAAGAAAGAGGATTGATGACGTGTAAATAAATTCGATTATTTTTCCATGGTTTTTCACCGCGGAGCGATTAAGCGAGCAATAAGATGTTTTGTGATTGTAAGTAGCGGTCCCTAGGCGGTAAATCGTTCTTCGTTCGTTCAATTCGTTAAGCGAGTCTGATTCTGACCGTGAACGGGAACCAACGTTAACCTGGATAATCGTTTCACGCGTTCCGTTTCCCTTTAAGGGGGCGAAGAAATTCTGCTTGGTTCCGTCACGTGACAAAAGGGGAAGAACCACCGGAAGCCTATGTCGTCAAAGATGGCCGCCACCGCGAGTACTTCGTAACGGTCATTTACGCGCAAGTTTTCATCGCGCACGTTCGAACGATACGAAAATTTAGCTATCAGTCTCGTGCTGTATTACCAATACTCGACAGTCAATCGAAATTATAATTACAAAAATAGAGTTCAACCTCGTAACGGTAGTCAATATAACGCAGAACAAACGAAAGAAGAGTCTAGGCCCGATGAATCGTTCTTCGACGCTGTCGATCTTAACCTCAAAGATTCCGCTTCTGACCCAATACATTAATGCCAGAACTACCAAAACAGTCAAAATGGTTAGTACACCCTCATAATAATAATTAAAAC